TACTATTCTGTTTTATTGTTTTTTTTCTATTTTATTCTTCTAATCTATTCTGTTCTGGAATTCCAGAAGATGGTTATCATTTTTCTATTCTATTCTACATCATTGTTTTTTTCTATTTTCTTATTTTAGTTTATTTTCTAGTCTATTATTTTCTATTCTATTCTGTTCTTTTCTATTCTAATCTATTCTATTTTAATTTATTCTATTCCAATTTCCTAAGATGGTTATATTCTTTCTGTTCTATTCCTTTCTATTCTATTGTTTTTTTGTAGTCTATTATATTCTTTTTTATTCTGTATTTTTCTTTTATTTTCAATTATTTTATTTTCTGTTCTAATATCTGATCTATTCAAATTCAAATTTATTCCATTCAAAATTCAAATTTTTTGACGGTTATATTCTATTATATTTGATGGTTTTTGCTATTCTATTCTTTTTATTTTATTTTCTATTATATTCGGAATTATAATTTTGAAAGATGGTTATATTCTATTTTATTCTATTCATTTCTGTTTTACTCTATTCTTTTCTATACTAGTCTATTCTTTTAGTTTCTATTCTATTCATTTCTATTCCATTTTATTCCTAATTCTTTTATTTTTTATTCTATTCTTTCCGATTCTATTTCTTTATTTTTCATTCTTTTCTTCTCTAATCCATTCCATTTTATTCTATTATTTTCTATCCTAGTCTATTATTTTATTTTCTATTCTATTTGTTTCTATTCTATTCTTTTCTAATCCTTTATGTTCTAGTCAATTCTATTCTAATTTTGTTTTGTTATTTCATATTTGTTTAAATTTGCTACTATTGTAATTCAGAAATTTGGATACATCCAAATCTCCGAATAACAAAAAATTAATTTCCGTTCGGAGTGAAACTAACTACATATGTCTAACAGTCTGCAAAACATCACCTGTTAGGGGAACAATGAACTTCAAGTATAACTGGATGACATGGTAGTGGCAGAATGGCTTTGGTCTGCCCCACCTTGTCTACAATAGATTGTCCACTATGGAGAAATTGATATTGTAGATAACAAATACCTGCATCTTCCAATCTTCGTTGATAAACTCCAGTTTGTACAGTTCTTTGATGATAGTGAGGTCTGATGAGCCCCAAACTGTGTGCAGGGAATCGAGTTGTACTTAATATAATGCCACATTCAATTCTTAAAAATTTGCAAACCAGAAACAAAAAGGGTCAGATTTAAAGCTAGGCATTCATTTTAGGTGATATATTTGACAAAAGGTAAACAGCCCTGCCTTAAACACATTTGACATAACACAGGCCAGCTATGTAAGGATGCTAAGATGTCTTAAAGTTGTTGTAAAGCTTGTTTTTTTCTTTATTAAAATAACAAACGTGATATTTACTTGCTCTGTGTAATGGTTTTGCACAGAGCACCCCAGATCCTCCTCTTACCTGGTCCCCCGACTGCGCTCCTGGCCCCTCCCCCCTGCCAAGTGCCCCCAGAGCTCATTCCCAAGCTGGCCCTGTATGTGAATATGTCTTACAGAGCATGTCTCAGCTCTGCCCCCACTTCCTCCTCACTAGCTGTGATTGGTATCAGCAGAAGTCAATGGCTCCCACTGCTGTGTGTCAGCCAATGAGCAGAGAGAGACCTGGGAGAACTGAGCTTCTCATGCACAGCGCTGGATCACCATCGGGCTCAGATAATTATAAGGGGGGCTGAGGAGAAGCTGCACACTGAAGGTTTTTCATCCTCATGCATAGAATGCATGAAGGTAAGAAAAACTTTCCGCCTTTAGAACCACTTTAAAACTTCCAGTAGCAGGGTATGCAAAAGACTCCAAATGAGGACTGTCTGAATGGCTTGTTGTAAACCATCTAATTAGCAATTCACATCTGCAAGTCTTTTTTTTTTTGTTTTGTTTTTTACTAAAACTGAAAATTCATGCTTCTCAAGTTCTTGACTTTGGTTTGTATTCCATAACTCCTGCATAATGGAGTTAATTTTCTAACCAATGGTTACACAAATAGGCCAATACCAATCAGGCAGACATCAAACACACCCATATTACAAGGTCCAGCAGCCTAATGGGACATATTTGACAATGAAGAGGCATAGATAATATCTAAAGTACTGTATATCATATTTGGTGTCTAACAAATTGTAATTTAATTTGGTTAAATAATGTGTTGGTTGTTGGATTGGGAAACGTGGTCATATGGAAATATGAATGTATAGTTTCATAGCATAATACAATACTCCAGCACATCTATTGTTACACATCTCAGACCCTTTGATTGGGTGTGTTAATTACTTCTCCCAGAACCAGAACATGTGGCTGCATTTGGAGCTCTGAACTCTCATTTGGCATCAAATCAACCATGTCAAGTCACATTTTCTGAGGGCCAGTGACTCTTTAAAAAATCAGATTGGACTGAAAGTGAATTAGACCCGGCATGGAACCATAGACCAGATTAAATTCACCCAACCCCTTTACGCTGACCATAGTCAATGCTTTAAATGGGCTCTGATAGCCAAGGCCTGTAGGAGGAGCTCCCAATCTTCCTGTACTTTGATTGGTTGCATAGTACTGATGTCATCGGAAGCCCAGTTCCTGATCATTCAGCCTGTGAGTTTTAGCTGTCAGTGACAGCTCGGTCACAGTTCTGGGGACACTGATGGAGCGCACCCCAGAATTACACAGCGATGCATATATGCATTGGTTGGACATTAAGGACCACCCACCTTGCTGTAGCATATATGTGCTGAACTGGCTGAATCATCCAAATTTTGATCCGTGTATGACCATTTTTAACCTGCTGGTGCTTAGACTGTAGTCTCAGAGCTGGAAAATCCCTGCATATGGTAAGATAGGAGTATGAAACTTCACATTCTGGATGCAGCAGGTGGGATCACACCATCTGCAGAAACATATACAGTTTTATAAACCCTGAAGTATCCTTCCTGAAACCCTTTAAGTGCCCCTCTGCTCCATCTGGGGAGAGCTGTGTATATGAAGTGACAAAATAAATTTGCAAGTTATGCCGATCTGCAAATTGTCTAGGTGCAAAGTTTGCATTCTCCCAAATACAAGGGTGCTGATTGTCCAGTCTAAAGTTGGCCATAGATATATCAAAATTCAGCTGGTCCAGCAGAGACCAGATGAATTTCAATCCATGTGTGGCCATGCCTGTTTGACAGAATTTGAGTTTTGTTTAACAGGGTTGTTAGAAATGTTTTCTCAATCAGCGCTGTCAGAATACAATGCCCCAGCAGGGAGGATTCCTCTATCCACCACACTTTTTTTGTCAGCCTGCTGGTTGAATGAAAAAAAAAATGAATCATGTATAGCCAGCTTAAGAAAAATCTAACAATTTATGAATTATTGTAACTCTGCCCCAAATTACATCACCGATCTTGTCTCCACATATCACCCAAACCATACTCTCAGCTCCTCGCACAACCTCCTACTCTCTAGCTTCCTTGTCTCCTCCTCACATGCTCATCTCCAGGACCTCTCCAGAGCTTCCCTCATCCTCTGGAACTCTCTACCCCAATTTATCAGACTATTGCCTACTCTGCTCACTTTTAGGTGATTCCTGAAAACCTATCTCTTCAGGGAAGCCTATCCTGCCCTCAGCTAATAATGGAATCTTCTATTCCTCCTACCAGTCCATCCCCCACAGTTATTACCTTTTGTACCACTAGCCCCTCACTCTTAGATTGTAAGCTCCAAGGAGCAGGGCCCTCCTATCCCTCTTGTATTGAACTGTATTGTTGCTGTATTGTCTCCCGTTATCTTGTAAAGTGCTGAGCAAACTGTTGGCGCTATATAAATCCTGAATAACAATGTCAATAATTGTTTTCATAAATTGTACAACTGTAAAAATTCCCAATCAAACAGCTCTACAAATAAAAGTGTAGAAGAATCACAAATTTGTGAACTGGTGGCAGATTTTTTTTCCAAGTGTTTAGCAACCTTCATCTGTCATTTAGCAAGCTTCTGGGCTGAGTGCTGCAGAAATTTAGGGACATATTAATAAAGCATTGAATATGACATTCAACAAACAATTCCTGTAGGTGAATCTTCCAGGTTTCATAAGCATTGGACTTCATAGTGTACCACTGGCTATTTTTTCTCTGGATGTAGATGCACTTTTATCAGTTACACTGTTCTGAGCTCTTTGTGAACTACAAAACACCTCCTCCTACGTTATGAAAAAGAGGAGGAGATGTTTTATAGTCATTTTTCAAGGTGGCAACATGGCTTATTCATAGATACAGTACAGTATGTTTTGTCATCCTAGGAAGGAAGTGTTACTGGCAGGATCACCAGGTGGAAATAAAGGATAAAAGAATGAAAGAAAGAAAACTAATGCAGTCAATACAATTAAGACTGGCAATTCACAATATTACATTTTACTTTTTGGGTTTAGATACACTTTAATAAATAGTCAGTGAAGCTTGCCAAATGCCTGCAGCATTTACAACATAGGATTAGGTGTGTGTACCAGAGGTTTCTGGATCTGACAGGCTGAGAACACCTATTTATCTGACAACCTCTGGTGGATATTCATTGTGTATTCTAGACATAGGATCTGAAACCTTATATAACCATCTAATAGGCCACATTCATGTATAACAGGTGATTAGTGAATATGAAAAAGAAGCAATAAAATGAAATGTTTTAATTAATTATGCAATTCTTGCTTGTTTACATGCCTATAGAAAGTGTACAATGTGGGAGGAGGCCAAACAGAGTGGCTCAAGAGTGGCTGTCAAGCAACATTAAAGGGAGCTGTGAGTCACATGTGATACCCAAGCCACTGGCTGGAGACAACTGATCTAGACACAGAGACAACCAGACAGCTGAGTGAATTAGGGGGCCGAAACATCTCGGAAATACATTTTAGCTTCAATTTAACATCAGAAGAATGATATTACTCAAAATATATTTAAGGTGAAGAGTTTTTTTCAGTCATTTCCCTTCATATTAGTTCTTAGTTTGTACAGTGGCATCCACCAGTTAGTGATGTAGATAATCGAAGGACTCACGCCGTAAAAGGCCCACTACATCTCTTTTGCCATAAGTGAAAGACCCAACATTGGTGGGTGAGTAGATGGGACCGTGGTGGTTGTTGGATCGGACCAGGAAGTCGGCCAGACGTTGCGTGACGCAGGTCGCCGTGTTGCATTTCCTCTTTTCTATCTGGTTCCTGCAAAGAAAAAAAAAAAAATAGTTTACGAAGCGTTTTTCCACCACTTTCCACCCACTTCATCCCTAACAACTCAGCTATTAGAGTAAGGCGTCGCAGGCACGGAGAGTCAGACGGTTGTCACAGAATAGCTGACGTGTCAGGAAAGACAAAAGATTTTTAGATAAAGCCACTTATAAAGTTCTCCAAAGTTACCTTACTGACTTCACACAGTAATGCTGAGAATCAGGGATGAGTGTATAATTGTTCCCGACTCTCAGAGAATTCACTTCAACAAAAAGAAAATTGACATTACTTCCCCCAAAAATTCAATTACTAGTTATTTACCTAATGCTTGGGGGGTTACTAAGGACATACCTATCACTTTCAGCCCACAGAAGCTTGCAATCAAATCTACATATTATATTCACACAAACATGCATTACACAAACTACCTCAAACCCGATCTCTAAAGAGGTAAGTGATGGAATCATCTGCAGAATCTATCAATATTTATCTGTCAGATGATATATGGAACAGAGCATTGTTCTGGAGCTCTTTAGAGAGGGCAGTGAAGGAATAATCTGCAAGATATATCAATTTAGATCTGTCAGGTGGTAGATGCAGAAATAATCTGCAGAATTTATTCATTTGTATTCGTGAGGGTGAATTGGGGCAAAGCAATGCTCTACAGATCAATAAAATTATCAGTGATAATATAACCTACAGAATATATCAGTATTTATCCAACAAGAGGGAGATGGGATAGAGCAATGTTCTGCAGATCTCTACATAGGTCAGTGATAGAGGTAGATGGCACATATCAATGTTCAAAATCATTAATAAAATAAACAGCAAAATATATCAAAATGTATCTGTTAGGAGGCAAATGGGACAGAGCAATGCTCTGCAGATCAAAAAAAGTGTCAGTGATGGAATAATCTGCAGAATATATTATTATGTATCGGTAAGGAGTAGAAGGGGCAGTGCAATGTTTGCAGATCTCTAGAGAGGCCAGTGAGAGAATAATCTGCAAAATATATCAATATGTATCTGTCAGGAGGTAGATGGGATTGAGCAATGTTCTGCAGAACTCTAGAGAGGTTATTAATGGAATAATCTGCAGAATGTATCAATATGTATCTGCCAGGATGGAGATGGGAGGGAACAATGTTCTGCAGATCTCTAGAGAGGTTGTTAATGGAATAATATGCAGTATATATCAATATGTATCTGTCAGGATGAAGATGGGAGGGAGCAATGTCCTGCAGATCTCTACAGAGGTCAGTGATGGAATAATCTGCAAAATATATCAATATGTATCTGTCAGGAGGTAGATGGGAGGGAGCAATGTTCTGCAGATCTCTAGAGAGGTTATTAATGGAATAATCTGCCAGGATGGAGATGGGAGGGAGCAAGGTTCTGCAGATCTCTAGACAGGTTATTGATGAACTTATCTGTAGAATATATCAACATGTATCTGCCAGGATGGAGACAGGTTTGAGAAAGTTTCTGCAGATCTAAAAAGAGGCCAGTGATGGATAAATCTGAAGAATATCTTAATATGTATCTGCTAGAAGAGAGATGGGATGGAGCAATGTTCTGCAGATCCCTAGAGGCCAGTGATGGAATAATTTTCAGAATGTATCCAAAAGCATCTGTCAAGTGGGAGATGAACCAGAACAAATTGTGTAATGATTTAGAGAGGTCAGTGATGAAAAAAAATCTGCAGAATATATCGATAGTTATCTGTTAGGAGGGAGATGGGACGGGGCAATACTCTGCAGATCACTAAAAGTGTCAGTGATGGATCATCCTGCAGAATATATTAATATGTATCTGTAAAGGGTAGATGGGATAGTGCAATGTTCTGCAGATCTCTAGAGGGGTAAGTGAGAGAATAATCTGCAGAATGTTCTGCAGATCTACAAAGAAGTCAGTGATGGAACAATCTACAGAATGTATCGATATCTTTCAGGAGGAACATGGGGCAGAGCAGTGTTCTAAAGAGGTCAGTGATGGAATAATCTGCAGAGTATATCAATATGTATCAGGAGGGTGATGAGATGGAGCAATATTCTGCAGATCTCTAAAGAGGGCAGTGATGGGATAATCTGTGGAATTTATCAATATGTATTTCTATGGGTGTAGATCAGATGGAGCAATGTTCTGCAGATCTCTAGAGAGGTCATTGATGGAATAATCTGCACAATATATCAATTAATCAATTTTCTGCAGATCGGTCTCTAGAGAGGTGATGGATAATATATCAATATGTATTTCTATGGGTTCTGCAGAGAGGAGCAATGTTCTGCAGATCTCTAGAGAGGTCATTGATGGAATAATCTGCACAATATATCAATAACATGTATCTGTAAAGATGGAGAAGGGAAGAAGCAATTTTCTGCAGATCTATAGAGAGGGCAGTGGTGGGATAATCTGCAGAATATATCAATATGCATCTGTAAGAAAGCAGAAGGGAAGAAGCAATGTTCTGCAGATTTATAGAGAGGGCAGTGGTGAGATAATCTGCAGAATATATCAATATGTATCTGTAAGGAGGGAGAAGGGAAGAAGCAATGTTCTGCAGATCTCTATAGAGGGCAGTGATAGGATAATCTGCAGAATATATTATTATTAATATATATCTGTAAGGAGGGAGAAGGGAAGAAGCAATGTTCTGCAGATCTACAGAGAGGGCAATGGTGGGATAACCTGCAGAATATATCAATTTGTATCTGTAAGGAGGGAGAAGGGAAGAAGCAATGTTCTGCAGATCTCTAGAGAGGGCAATGGTGGGATGACCTGCAGAATATATCAATATGTATCTGGAAGGGGGAAGAAACGATGTTCTGCAGATCTCTACAGAGGGCAGTGATAGGATAATCTGCAGAATATAGATGGGACACTTGTGAGAAATAATTTATAGAATGCATTGGTTTGTATCTTCCTTACTATAGATGGGATGAGAGAATGTTTAGTATTTTTTGGAGAGATTAGTAGGACTATTACCCCGAATAATGAAGAGAACACAAACAATAGATACTGATTACTATATAAAATGTCCATATGACACAATGTAATACATACAGCATCTAAATATAATGTATATATGATACAGATGACAGATCTACACATATAATTACCGACTCTTATACAAAATCACCTTAAATGTTGTATTTCTCACGTTTGTTGTGAACTTTTCCCACATTCCTACAACCAGACCACTGTTCCCCTGAGCAGAGCAAAGCTCCCTACCTCTTCTCTCTGGTGGTCACCAGCGGCGACATCCCATTGGTCGGTGTAATCAGGGTGTGTTTGGTCTGTACTGCAATCGTCCATCCGTTCTCTGATGTCCCGTTGGCGATATCGGAATTTTTCTGTCTAGTTTGAGGAGAGAACATTGTGAGTTTGACTCCACCAGAAGGAAAGGACCCTGTGCCCCCCCCTCCTTGCCCTTTCCCAACTGACCTGACCACGGGGGCTGTGTTGGAAATGCTGATGGTGATGGACAAAATAATGAGCAGAGCCATTAGTCTCAGGTGCTTCATTGTCTCCCTTTTGACTGGCTGCAGGGAGAAATAATAGGATTAAGAGGCATAACAGAGACAATGAAGGAAAAAATGCGGCGGAATTCCGCGTAACTCTTTGTGTTTCCAAGAAAAGTGTGAGAACATGCAAAGTATAATATTTAAAGGGAAAGAAAGGAAGCGTACAGAGATGGATGAGGAAGGCTCACCTGGGTGATGGCACTCCGAGGATGTTTGGAGGAGTGAAATGTTGGTGTCAGTTTGGCCAGTACGGGGTCTGGGAATTCCTTACTTCTGGCATCTGTAGAAGTCTTGTGGTTGACGTCTCATCTCAGATTGGCAGCCAGCTGGCTGTTTTATACCCCTCACACCTGGGGGACGGCTGACGTCATAACCCATGGGCTCCTCACCAGCGCAGGGCGACAGTCATGTGACTCCCACAGCTCCATTCAGCATGCTGAATCTCCCCAAACTATCACTGGAAAAAAGATTCAGAGAGTTTTCTGTACTGTGACAGCTGCTTCTAGTTTATGTACAGCTCTGTATAAAGCAGCAGCACTGGTAGGAGGGCAGAGCATTACATATATTAAATATTTGACACAATATTTCCTCTTTCATCATATCATAGACAACAGGCGGAGAGCAAATCTTTAAACCATGTCATTATATAATGCAATCCATTCAAAGTTAAATTCTGTGAAAGGCTTCAATGGAAAGAAAGGATCTCTATTGCTGCATCTGAATCTATAGGACGTCTTCCCTGCCTCCAAAGTAAAGTCAGAACAAATTTCACACAACAAGCTTGAAACATATACTGTATGTGATAATAATATAGAACACAGTGTCTGAGCAGCACAATCTGCAGCGTTTATACCATCATACCTCTACATATCTTATACCTGAAAGCACATATATCTATTTTGAAATTATTCAACTCCAAAAAACAAATATTTACACACATTTATAAAATAAAGTGCTAACAATATTGTGCTTTAATTTTAATGCACTTAAAGCAGAGCTCCACCCAAAAGGGGAAGTTCTGCTTTAAGTGCTGGTCCCGCACTCCCTGTGAGGAATTGGCACCTTTGGGGAGCGGGTCCCCCAATTTTTACAAGTGCCTGCTCCCATTTTCCGCTGCAGTCGCCTAGCAAATTGGAAGTGGACTTTGTCCTCCCTCCCTTCCCATAGTCTTCTAGGATCCGTGACAGGTCCCAGAAGACTACAGGACCAATCACAAGGCGCAGCACTACTCGTACATGCGCAGTGGGCACCCAGTGTCCACACTTAGGATACCGACGCTGGGGAGCGAGGATGGCTGGTGAAATCCAGTTCACCACGGGATCATGGGACAGGTGAGTGGCTGTTTTTTCTTTTTTTTTCCATGATATCTTTTAATAAATTTTCTTTTAAGAAAAAAAATACCTTACAAAACCATCATAAATCTTTTTACATCATACATATAAACTTTATCCCCATACCCACCCCAACACACCCCTGTCCAATCTCATCTTATCCTCTCTTTCCCCTCCATTTAATCTAGTCATGTATATAGATCTCTTTAACCATTTAAATTCTCTGGTACTACTGTCGGGGGACCTTTCATTTTTAAGTATTTTTCTGGAGTTCTAAACTCACACCATTTACCCCAAATCTTTCTAAACTTTTCCGTTTCATCTTTCTCCATGTAACAAAGTTCCTCCATCCTACTAACATATTCTAATCTGTCTATCCAATCCCTCATTGTTGGTGGATCCTGGGCATTCCAAGGGGCTGTTTTTTAAATGTCAGCAGTTACAGTTTTTGTAGCTGCTGACTTTTATTTTTTTTTAGGTTTGACTGGAGCTCTGCTTTAATTATATATTTATGTGTGTGTGTGTATCACTAGCTGGATGTGTTTTTAAAAGCAAACAAACATTGTTTTTCAAAAGGTAAACACTGATGCGGTGCCGAATTTGCAGCGTTTTCTGTGCGAATGCCGCACTGCATCACAATCGCACCCCGTTCATGTGAACCGCTGAAAGTGTGTATTTTAAGCTAACGACACCTCCAAATCGGTCCGCAAAATGAGGTGTGATGTGCAGAATCGCATCGCATGGGTGTGATCCGATTCTAGTGCGGACCAAAAAAGGGTCCTGCACCTTTTTGGTGCGGATTCAGTGCAGTTTGAGCCATACAAAATGTATGGCTCCAATCGCACCGCATGTGATTTGAACAGGAATGCGATACGGTTCCTGTGTGAATCACATGCGAAATACCGCACCACATATGTGTGAACCCAGCCTCAACATGAAAGCAATACAAAACAGTCCATCATCCCCCAGGTAAAAACGAAAACTTGAGTATAACATAAACCTTGTAACATAACAAGGTTTAAAGTCCTCGGCTGCTCCAGGGGTCCAAAGAAAAGCTGACCACAGTCCAGCAGTATCTCAATAGCCTACACAGCAAACAGTTCCTTCTCACAAGCATGTCCTGCCCCACACCACACCTCATGGGCACCTGCTGACTGCTTCCCTGCCCTTTTCAGTCCCCTCCTTTAGGTGGGTTAACCGTTTCAGGATAAAAGTACCCATAGTCAGAATTGGAGACTCACTCTCACCCAAAATCTCTGTGAGCCTCTGAATTCTGCAGCCCATATCAGCACTAAACAATCCCGGGAAAGCTGCAAATCATTTTTCTCTTTTTTCAAAGGTTCACTGTGGAACCCCTCACCCTGCATGGGTGAGAAACCCTGAGTACTCTGACTCTCCTGTCATCATCCTAGGACCACAACCCAAACGATGGTGATATACTGTATATCTGCCTTCTACGAACCATCCCTGGCTTCCTGTACATAACTCTCCCTCTCGTGGTGTGAAAGGCAATGTGGGACACCCTGCAGTGCACCCCAGAGATGGTATCAGCATTCGGATGTTGTTTCCCAGGCCTGTGTTCCACCAAAAATTTTAACTATTGTAGGGACAAGAACCACCTGGTTACCCTGGCATTCTTGTGTTGATTCTGTCTCATCCAGGTCAGAACTTTCTGTCTAATAGAAAATAGCACAGAGAATCTAAAGCCCAGTTAATGGCTAGACATTTCGCTTCACTACTGTGTAGTTTTTCTCAGTGGCCATCAGCTTCCTGCTGAGAAAAACTAGGGGGTGTTCATCCCCACTGACTTATTGAGACAAAAAAGGCCTAAAAGTTCACTAGAGGCATCATTTTGGATAAAAACTGTTTTGAAAATACTGGCTGCTTTAGGCTTCAGTAAAGCCTACTCAATTTTGTCATTCGACGTAGCCACGTCTGACTTCTTACCTTTTGTGAGCCAGTAAGTGGCACAGCAGCAGTGGTGAAGTTGGGGATGAATCGATGGCAGTACCCAGGAGCACTTGGACCTGTTTCTTTGTGATGGGGCAGGGCTAAGCTTGAAAAGCCTCTACCTTGTGCATTTGAGGTTTCACCCAACCCTTTCCCACAATGTACCCTAGACACGTGGTCTTTTCCTTCGCAATGGCACACTTCTCAGAATTAGCAGTAAACCCCGCCTTCTTTAGAGAGTCCAACACAGCCTAAACGTGGGGAAGATGGGACTCCTAGTCTGTACCAAAGATAACAATAGCATTCAGATACACTGAGGTGTATTTCCCATGAGGATGTAGTGTTTTATCCATTGCCTTCTGAAAAGTAGCCAGAGCACAATGTAATCCAAACTGCATTCTATTATACTGGAAGTGCCCCTTTGGTGTGGAAAATATTATCTTTTCTCTGGCTTCCTTGGTTAAAGCTGAATTCCATTAATTCAGCCAATTTGTAAATAGTGAAGTCACACTATGAGTTAAGTAAAAGATGGTGCATGCCACCTTGTGGACTAATCTCTATTATTTATATCTGAGACACTCAGGGCTGTGAGAGGGGAAAGAAGCACACAGAACAAATATGTCCGCTCCTCCCCTCTGCTGCCTATTCGCAGAAGACTTTGTATTTTCTGAATGAGTTCACAGGGGCAGGAATAGGGGATGGGTAGGCATAGCAGCTACAGCGACTCTACTGCTGAAGATGCAGAGACCAGAATATCCAGCATTGGGCTCCCAGAACTACAGGGATAGCTGTCTTGCAGGAGCTGTCAGATGTAAACAATAGAGATAAGCCCATGAGATGTCATGCACTCATAGTGTGCCTTTACGTTTTACAAAAGAGCTGTATTCCTGGAGTTCAGCATTAAAGGTGGTATCAGCTTGGATATACAGTGGGGCAAAAAAGTATTTAGTCAGCCACCAATTGTGCAAGTTCTCCCACTTAAAAAGATGAGAGAGGCCTGTAATTGGCATCATAGGTAGACCTCAACTATGAGAGACAAAATGAGAAAAAAAAATCCAGACAATCACATTGGCTGATTTGGAAAGTATTTATTTGCAAATTATGGTGGAAAATAAGTATTTGGTCAATATCAAAAGTTCATCTCAATACTTTGTTATATATCCTTTGTTGGCAATGACAGAGGTCAAACGTTTCCTGTAAGTCTTCACAAGGTTGGCACACACTGTTGCTAGTTTGTTGGCCCATTCCTCCATGCAGATCTCCTCTAGAGCAGTGATGTTTTGGGGCTGTCGCTGGGCAACACGGACTTTCAGCTCCCTCCAAAGGTTTTTTCTATGGGGTTGAGATCTGGAGACTGGCTAGGCCACTCCAGGACCTTGAAATGCTTCTTACGAAGCCACTCCTTCATTGCCTGGGCAGTATGTTTGGGATCATTGTCATGTTGGAAGACCCAGCCACGTTTCATCTTCAATGCCCTTGCTGATGGAAGGAGGTTTGCACTCAAAATCTCACGATACATGACCCCATTCATTCTGTCCTGTACATGGATCAGTCGTCCTGGTCCCTTTGCAGAGAAACAGCCCCAAAGTATGATGTTGCCACCCCCATGCTTCACAGTAGGTATGGTGTTCTTTGGATGCAACTCAGCATTCTCTCTCCTCCAAACATGACGAGTTGTGTTTCTACCAAACAGTTCTATTT